TAATATATATTTTTTCCTAAATACATTTTTACCCAAATTATAAAATATGTCCATTTGTGAAAATTTTCTACCCCATGACCAATGGTCTTCAAAGGACAACACTCAAAACTTTTGAAAAATGTACGCGTTAAACAGTTAAAATGAAGCCAAAGTTAAAATGAAGCTAAAGGTGTGCGACGCGGGTTAGGTTCGGATTAATTGGGATAAAGCCTCGGATACCGAACGAAAACAAAATATTTAAGCCAAAGGAGGGCATATACGCCAAGCATAATTTAAAAAAAAAAAAAAAAGAAAAGGAAAGGAAAAAACAGGGGTACTTTTGAGTTTTGACTTTTCAGAAACAGACCACTCACTCACATAAGAGAGGGGACCGGCAGTCCTACCCGTTCTGCGTCTGATACTGTCTTCTTTATCTTCTCTGTTTTTCTCGCTCTCCTCCCCCACAATCTCTTAAATTATTTGGGATCGAAGTAAGCGTTCTTCAGATTCGAGATGAGTGTCGTTAGGGCTCAAGGAAGCTGCGTGGCGATTCGCTCTCTCTCCCCTTCGTCATCCATCGATCGGTGCTCTCACGCTCACGGTTCTGCTGCTTCCTCAGGTACTTTTCTCTTCCTCTTATCTCCGATCTTGAATCTCTGCGTTAGTCGATTGGAATGTGATTCTCATGTTGATTCTACTCCAAATTTAATCCTCAAAAAGATCTCCATCATTCTTCATTTCTTCTGCATTCTCAAGAATTCGAAAGAATCCTTTTGAATTCGTTGTGGTGATTGAGATCGATTTGCTTCATGATGCCATAGAATGTTCGCCTAAACAACTCGATTAATGGTTGTAGTTTATTTTCCTTTGATTTTTGAATCCTACACTTTCCGTCACAAATTCATGTTATATTTTCTAAAATCTTCAGCGTTAGTGCGGAAGAACTCACGAAATCTGTTCTCCTTGGTGAGGAAAATTAAATTTAACTAAACCAGAAATCTATAAACTTTGTAATCGTAATTTCTGATTTCCTAAGCTGGAAAGATATTTAGCTTTGATTATTTTGGAGAAATAAGAAAAAAAAATTTGGGATCTCCGTTCTCCGGTAATCTCTGGCGGTGCCGGATTTGGCGCAATTTAGGGTCTCTAGTAAAGGTCGATGCCATAAACGTCCGTGTTACGAGAAACCTTTTTATCTCATTTTTTATAAATTTTTACATGTTTTTAAATAAATAAATATAT